GGAGAACTCTTAAAAGAGGACCACGAGGATATAGAGAAATTCATGGACACAGAATACCAGGGGTCTGTTTCTGAAGAACTTGAAGATGACCTGTCCCACTGGACTCCACATACACCTGCAGGTGTACACATACATCAGCATAGTGACCATAGGGAGGACTTGCGTATAATAAGCAGCTTCTGTAAAGAAGAGCAGTCTTTGCAGCAGTTCCAGAAGTACTTCGATGTCCATGAGCTGGAAGCCATGCTACAAGAAATGTCATTAAAGCTGAAGTCAGCACAGCGGGAGAGCCTCCCCGACAATGTGGAAAAAGTCCTAGATAAAGTCTTCCATGCTTCTGACTCACAAATTCTGAACATAGCAGAGAACATGCTCGATACACGTGTGTCCAAGAACAGAGATCTGGGAATGAAGGGAGATAATATATTTGAAGAGGCTGCGGTGCTAGGTGACATTCAAGACCTGATCTATTTTGTCAGGTACCAGCACTCGACAGTGGAGGAGACTGCCCCACTGGTAATGGCACCACCCCTAGAAGAGGGCTGGGGCGGACCCATGGAAGGTAAAATACCTGCCTGTGGCCTTGTAGAGCAGGGCTGGAGAAGAAGGTGGGGAAGGGGGTTGCTGAAGTGCCTCATACCTTATCCATAGAGCTCTGTTCACATTTCCAGGGTGCCTGAAGGACAGAGACCACACAAGGGACCACATGTTCCTTCCTGCCTTCTTTTGTTTAGGCTGTAGTATGGAGAAGAATTTCTTACTTTTCCTGGATAGTTGAGAGTGATTAACATTTCAAAATGAAACTTTATAGAAAGCTAAAGAGAAAGATATAAGTAAGAAAATGATGTACCAGTTGCACTTGTTAACAAAGTACAGATATCATGTAAAATTCTGAAAGGGCTTCACTGAATACAATTTCTTGTTTGAGTTACTTGCACTCTAACCGAGCCTTGCCTGAGTTCCTGCATTCCCCCCAAAGCTCATGTTTTGTGGATGTCCTGTTCTTTCGTGCCTCTTGGCAGCAGTCACTTTCTCCAGTTAAGCTAGCGGTCCTGCATCAGATTAATCAAGGGTGGAACCAGTATGAGGAGCCTCCTAACACAGCCCTGGACACATAGAAGTCATTCAGTAAATATTTGCTGAATTGATCCCAAGCCAGTATCCTGATATATACTTTCTGATTACTGGTTCCATGCACTATTCTTTGTACCCAAGCTTTTCAAATGGAGGTATTTGAACTGAAGATTTAAGGTAGAGTAACAGGGGGACATAAAGCCTCAGAAAAACATCTCCCCAGTATGCCAGTTATTCCTGAGAATTAGGGGAGGAAAATGTTTTTGCATTTAATCAAAGCAGATATATTTTGGATTTGAATAAAGAATTCAAATGAGTTTTCAGGGTAAAATGTGAGGCTGCAAAGAAATTTGTCTTTGCCGTGGATCACATTGGACCATGTCTTGAGTGTCTTAGGGAAAGGGATGGGTGTACTCTTTTTGGCTCCTTGAGATACTTTGAGAATATTTGAAAGACACTTCAGCCACCTGCTTCGTGTGGAATGCCCTTCTCTGTACTAGCTCTGTGAGACAAGCGTGACTGTGCATGAAAGAATTCCTGTTATTCTGTATAGAAGAGGCATTTCACATTTTTGCTCTTGATTGAAGTTCCCTTCTACACATTTATTTGTGTGAGTATATGTTGGTTTTCCAAGGGGAGTTAAATTATTGAAGACCCTATTATAAATCTATTTATTTATGAAATAAATACATTGGAATACAGTCTTCTTTGTAAGTTGTATTATGTAGATTAGTCATCCTTGAAGTGGAGTAAAAGAAACTGAAAGTCCTATTTCTTGCCCAGCTGGGCTCCCTGGGATGCCCTGCATGGTGGGGGTGTGGGGGAGAATGCTGAGATGGGGGTGGGGTTGAGGTGCAGATTGGCTGCACAGGTGGTGTCAAGCTGTGTGAGCCTGGTGCACTCTCCTGTTCCCTCCCTGTAGAGAAGCAGCCACCACGTGAAAATCTCCCACAAGAGAGTAAGGAAGACTTTAGTATGCAGGGAACTGCAGCGCTCAACCACTTGGATCAGCCCACAACTGATGACACAGGAGCCTCAGAGGTATCACAGAAGCCAGATACTGAAACAACTTAGACCCAGGTAAAGCCTGCTCATTTTTCTTCACGAAGTAGAGGCACGTCATAGAGAAAACCTTCTAGGAGATTTGTAGTCAAAGGTGGGAAATAGAGGGGAAGATAATGCAGATACATATGAGGTGTTTTTTTTTGAAAGAGATCCCAGAGCTAATTGAGAGAAAAGCAGGAGTTAAAACAGGTGGTGTGAGGAGAGTGGAGACAGACTGGTCGGGCTCCCTCACCTCGTATCTGGCTGACCATAACAGCATGTCTGTTGTAAATATGTTAACTGCCCATGTGCGCCGAAGTGTTCCTTGGCTATCTGTCTCACACCCGTGTGTTACTTGGCTATCTGACTCTAGTATAAAAGACAATGGCTCTGATCCATGGGGGGCTGAGCTCGCATCTGAATAAAGCATGTCATCCTTGCCAATGGCTCCCAGGATCTTTCCAGTTACCTAGCTCGCAACCTGCGTATTAGGGGTCTGTGACGCAGTCTGCACAGGATGGGTTTGAAGGATCTGTGACTCAGTCTAACAGGTGGAAATAAAAAATAGGAGAGGCCAGAGACCATAACTAACCTACAAACCAAGGTTTGGCTATCACTAACGTGTGTACATCATTTTAATCTAAATTTTATTCTTAAAAGGACTTATACTCTCAAATAGTAGTCTTTAACCAGACTTTAACCAGACCAACAGCTAGATCATTTTAATCTAAAATATTATTCTTAAAAGAACTTATACTCTCAAATAGTTTTTAACCAGACCAACAGCATCAGAAACTCTGGGGATGGGAACCAGCAGTCTGTCTCTAACAAGCCCTTCAGGAAGTTCTCGCCTGATGCTAGTTAGAGTTTGAGAACCACTGCTCTAAAACTCAAGAATTCTGTGTTTTTTTTTCTCACTTTACCCCCTTTTCCATAAATAGGATACAATGTAGTACAGTTCTTTTTCTGATTTGCTACCTGGACATGGTAAAAATTAAAAAAAACCAAAGATTAAAATACAGGGAAGGATCCAGGTATCTGTATACTATGTGCTCATAGGAAGCAGTCAGAACTTTGCAGTATGTGACAGTCCGTTGTAGGCTGTCATTAGTTATTGCAGCACACAGTAAACATGCAGTGGGAGATGAGAAAGTTTTAAAAAATTTTTTTAAAAACCCAATAATGGTATCAGCAGCTTTCTAATGCTTGCATAGCTCACGTTTTACCAGTGAATCAGAGAACAGCTGATTGTGTTATGTTGTCTGTCCAGTACGGTGGCATGATGACATCGTTACTGTTTTTGGTGTTTTTAGAGGTTCTGGTCTTTGAGCACAGGTGCAGCATTACCCAGTGACACTGCAGGGCTTGGCAGCACTGGGCTGACACCTGCCCACCCCCGGCACACACACAAAGTATAGGAGGTCACAGCAGGTAAAGGAATAAACCTAATTTGCGAAGGAATGACATCACAGAGGCCACCCCATGTTCCAGAGGACATTACATTCATATATAATACTCTCTACTTCTAAACTTGTTTAACTCAAAATGTTCTGCTGCTGAAGATGAGCTATGCACATTACGACTTGTTACTCTCTTGCTCAGAAACTTTTAGGATTAGGCAAAATTCTGCTTCCAGAATTAACAAATTCTTTGCCCTATCTTTTAACTCCCACCACAAAATAACATCAGTAACCTTCACAGGCAAGTCTTCCTAAATGTGTCTTCGTGCATTGCAGGCAATGAGGTGCTGACTTGGTTGGGGAAACTTCACCAGAGGTTTCATAGATCCACAGTGGGTGGAACCTTAGGGTTGGGAGAGACCTTAGAGGCAACTAGTCCTACTCCTCACTAATTGATCAGCATTTTGGACTCCTAGCTGTTTGTAAGACATACCCCAGACTCGTATAACACATACTGAAATCCAACCCCCACCGCCTCCTCACGTGGAGATACTTTCAGGTATACCGAATTCTACCTCTTTCCCAGAGGCCTGAGCCAGTTCTCTTCCCTGTAAGCAATTCCCTTTGGTCTCTCTTGGCATTTACCCTTTTCTCTTTTATGCAGCTGCCATTCATTCACGGAGAAGACAATTACTGCACACCTGCCGGGTGCCAGACCCTGTGCTGAGCACGGGTGCATTCTGTCTACAAGTTCAGTAAGGCAAGAGTCAGTACACTAAGGTAAGAAAAAGAAATCATCCAGATTGGGAAGGAGGAAGTAAACTTGTTTATTTGCAGAAAACATGAACATCTATGCATAAAATCTGGTGGGACCTACAAAAAAGCTACTAGAGCTAATAAAGGAGTTTAGTAAAGTTGCCAGAAAAAGATTTACATCTAAAGCAATTTTATTTCTATATACTAGCAATAAATAACTGGTAATTGAAATTTTAAGAAATTTCCAAGTACAACAGTATAAAAAGAATGCAGTACTTACAGATAAATATGTCAAAAAACGTGTAAGATATATACATTGAAAACTATAAAATACTGCTGAAATTAAGGAAGACCTCAATTGATGGAGAGATATACCTTGTTTATGAGTCAGAAGACTAAATATATTGTTAAACTGTCAATTATCCGCAGTTTGATCACTAGAATCAACATAATCCCATTCAAAATCCCAGCAGGATTTTTTTTTTTAATAGAAAATGTGAAGCTGATTCTACAGTTCTTATGGAAAATGGAAAGGACCTAGAGTAGCCCAAACATTACATAATTTTAAGACTTTATAAGTAATCAGGATAGCTGACAAATATATCTTTGAAACAGAATGGAGAATCCAGAACTAGATCCACACATATCTGGCAATGAACTTCTGACAAAGTTGGAAAGACAATTAAATGGAGAAAAGAATGTCTTTTCAACAAATGGAACTATTGGCTATTTCTATGCAAAAAATCACCCATACCTGGTTTCATATTCATAAACTAATTCAATATGGGTTATAGACTTTAATGTAAAACCTAAAACTATAAAACTTGTAGGAAAAACAAGAGAAAATTTTTGTTGAACTTGGGTTAGGCAAAGATTTCTTAGATTTGACATCAGAAGCATGATTCATAAAAGTGAAAGTTGATAATTTGGACTTTATCAAAACAAACACTTTTCAAAGTAAATGATAAATACAAACCACAGACTGGGAAAAATTCACTACAGAGCATCTGTTTAATAAAGGACTTGTATACAAAATATATAAAGAGCTCTTAAAGCTCATTTAAGAAAAAAGCCTGGAAACACATAACCCAGTAAAATAAACACTTTACCAAAGAAGATGTGTGGGTAGCAAAGAAGCACATTTTAAAATGCTCAAGATCATTAATCATCCAATTTAAACCACAATGAGTTACCACTACACATTTATTAGAATAGCTAAAATTTGAAAGACTGATTATACCAAGTGCCAGGTTTTGTTTTGTTTTTTAATATTCTGGAAACTGTATTTTATATATAACAGTATATAAAATTATTTTGTTTCTTTTTTATAGCTGCACAATATTCTTTGGTTTATTCAATGTCTCTTTTATTGATGGACATTTTATTTCCAGTCTTGTTACTATAAATAATACTGGAGTAGCATAGTTTTGTGCATATATATTTTCAACATTCATTGTTCCCCAGTATCTCTGAGATAGAGCTTTAGAAGTGGTATTGTGGAGTCAGTGGGTAAATACACATGTAATTTTGGGAGATGTTGCAAAATTCTCATTCATAGGGGTTGTATCATTTTGCATAGTGATCAGCAATGCATGAGAGTGGCTGTTTCCACCACATTCTCTCACCAGCAGAGTACAGGGTACTTCAAAAAGCTTATGGAAAGATTCATATTATCTTTTAATTCTGTTTTTCCACAGACTTTTTGAAGTATCCTCATATGTTATCAGATATTTGGATCTGGCCAAGGTAAGTGAGAAATGGTGACTCAGTGTAGGCTTTATTTGTATTTCTTTCATTGTGAACAGGGCAGAGTGTGTTTCCATATGTCTACAAGCTATATTTCTTTTCCCAGATCCATTCATTCTTTCAGGCCACTTTTTCATAGGTTTCCTGGCCACTTCCTTCTCTATTTCTGAAGCTTTTTATATTTTAGAAGTATTAATCCCTTTTAATATGTTACAAATATATTTTCTCAGGTTGTCACTGTCAAATTTTGCTTATTTTGCAATTTTTGTGGGGTGGGGGACTGGGCAAGTTTTTTTATATTTAAGTAATCAAATTTATAAATCTCTTCTCTTGTTGCTCCTAGATTTTGAGACATAATAAGGATTTGCCCACTCATGAGACATAGAAATTTTTTTCTAGTACAATGCTTTTTCATTTTCATTTTTTCCATTCAGGTTTCTGATCCATTTGGAATTTACCGTTGTGAACAATGAGAAAAAGATCAGTTTTATCATTTTCCATATGGTTATCTAGATATGACAATGCCACATATTAAAAAGTCTGTTTTTCGGGCTGGCCCCGTGGCTCACTCGGGAGAGTGCTGCGCTGGCAGTGCTGAGGCCATGGGTTCAGATCCTATACAGGGATGGCCGGTGCGCTTGCTGGCTGGGCGTGGTGTGGACACCATGCCGAAGGTCGCGATCCCCTTATTGGTCAAAAAAAAAAAAAGTCTGTTTTCTTTCAGCTGACTTTTATTGTATCACATATGTCCACTGCAGTGGGGTCTGATTCTGGATTTCTGTCCCATCCCGTGGTTAGTCTGTGTCCTTGGACTGGTACCCGACTGCGTAATGAAAGGGCCTGCCCTGGCCTCTCACTGCGCCCTTCATTGCTCTTCTCCTTAGGCTTTCCCTGCTTCATGCTTGATTGTTCTTCTGAATTGACTTTATATTCAACTCGAAGACATCTCTTTAAAGATCTACAAATACATTTTTTTCTTTCTGCAGTGTAAATGTCCCCAGTTTCCTCAACTTTTGCAAAGTGATTTCTGGACCATTCATTCTCCTTGTCCTTTTCCATGAGTCAAGTAATCTTAAAATGTGGGACCCAGAACTGGACCCACTGGCATAGGGGTGATGATGGCATGACTGGGCAGGATAAGGCTTTTTAAAGGGGTGTCAGCAGAATGGGAGTCTGCGTGAGCAGCTGGAGCTTGGGCAGGGAGGAGTAAGCAGAGGACGGAGGGCATGGTGCTTCTCCTTTCCTGTCCGGAAGGGAGGGCAGCCGGGGATCTCGGCACTTTGTTGACATAGGGGCCAGCTCTGGGCAGCTGGAGAGGCCTGCCTTCCTCCTGACCCCGGCCCTGGCCTATGGTCCTCTCCCAGTAGCCCACTAGCCGCCTCACTCCGGCCCCTTGCGTCGCCCACTCTCTCAGCTCCTACAGCGGGCGACTCCATTAGTCGCCTCCCCCGCTTGGATGCTTCCGCTAGGCTGCCACGCCCACCCCCGTACCGCTGGGCAGTTGGTTCCTTCCGCGCAGGCCCCGCCCTCGCGGTGTTCACAGTGTTCACTATCGTCACCATGGTAACAGTGTTTTCAGTGTTTGAGGCCAAAGAGCCGGCCACGGCCGACTGAGTTCAGTCTCCTCTGTGAGCCGGTCTTCATTAGAGGAGACGAGTTGTGTGCTGTTCCGCAGGGAGGCGTGTCACCCGCCGCCTGTCCATAGGCGATGGAGTCAGTCCCTGCCATTGTGCCTCCTGTCGCCACGTCGGACAGGGCGCTTTGGGGACCCCTGTCGGTGCTGTACACAGCCCTCACAGCCAAGCTGCTGGAGGTGATGATCCCCGTTCCCACAGAGGGACCCCAGTTCCGGCAGGCGGGTGGATGAGTTCTGAGCAGAGTGGGTGCCCTGACCGACCTGGCCAAGGAAATGGAGCGTGTCAGGCCTGAGGCAGGCAGGACGTTGCTGTGCTGTTTAGGGAGGCTAGTGGGAGTGTATTTGAAGTTTCATCACTTGCTCATTTCTTACTGAACAGTTAGAAGTGACAGGCACTGTGTTGTATTTAAAGCCATTATCCAAACACTTAGAGCCGGTGGGTCTTTTCCCAGTAACCCCTGGCACTGTTGGGGGATGGGGTCAGTATGGTAGTTAACTCGGGTAATTGTAGAGGGCAGCAAAAACAGTGTGGAGCAGGAAGGTGTTTAATGGACTATCTCCCAGGAAACATTTAAAATTAAGGCGCCGAGTTTTGTAGAAGACAGTTAAATTCAGGATTTATCTAGACCAGTTACCAGGAGCTATCTGACTTAGCATTTGTCCTTGTTTACGTAAGAGTAGAAGTTTACAGAAGAGTAGAATAAAATTAAAGTTTAAATTTTGAGAGGAATAACACATCCATTACCATCATATTGGTTTTATTTGCTGCCATGAAAGTTGATTACTTATGCTATATTTACATTTTTGGTCTTACATGGGTTTTTTTTGTTGTTGTTTTTTAAGTAATAAAAACCACTTAACCAAGAGAAAAGTATGATCCACAGGGACTCTAGCCATGTGTTGGACAGAGTGATGTGGCAGGGTCTCTGCCAACTGGAAATATATGCCCAACTTAAAGACATTTACACTGGTAATACTTAAAAACACTACTAGTCAAACAAGAAACGAGACTGCCAACATCCTGTCTTTCTTGAAGCAGTGAGAGCTATTGAAGCTTTTTGAGGGGGTAGTTATCTGGTGGAGTTTGGCATAGAATTCTATGGCAGACTCTTTGTGAGTGCATTATTGCAAATTTCTTTAAGGCTTCCCATTATTTCTAATATGTCTATTTCAGTTTGTTGCTACATTGCCTGATGATGTTCAGCCTGGGCCAGATTTCTATGGACTGCCATGGGAACCTGTACTTATAACAGCCTTCTTGGGAATTGTTTCATTTGGTGTATTCTTCTGGAGAACTGTCCTTGTTGTGAGTAAATTAATTTATACTTTAACTCATAAATGCAAGGGATGTCTTATAATCACTGGCCCTTTTATTTGTTTCTTTTTCAGCAACATAAATGCAAATTAATGATTATCGTTCAAGCTAACCTTATAAAATAGTGTAATCTTTGTGTTTTAGATATAAGTGAACAAGATAACATTTATAAACTCAATTGGAAAAGTTCAATTTATGAATCCCTTATATCAAAACCTAAAGATTAAGAATGAGGAGGGTGCATGTATGCACTATTAGTAGAACTCGGAATTCATACAGCCACTCTGAAAAGTAGCTTAGTGATATGTATACAAAGCCTTAAAAATGGTCATATCCTTTTATATAGTATAATATCATGTCTAATTATCTGTCCTAAAGAAATTACCAATCATGCATTAAAGATCATGTGCAAGGGCATTCAGTGGAAAAGTACTTATTAGAGTGAAAACTTGTCACAACCTAAATGATCCCTATGGTTGGGGAATTGTTAAATTATTGTATATCCATATAATGGGATATAAGGTGGCTTTACATATTTCATAGACATTGGGGCACAGAAAGTATATTTCAAAGATATTGGGGCACATAAAGTGCTCACAATTTAACGTGAAGTGGAAAAAAGCAGAAACCAAGACTTTAAAGTATAGGTAAACTGTGTGTTATATAAAACACATACGTACACTTGGGCGCACACAGAAAAAATGCTGCAAGGAAATACAATAGAATGATAAAAATTCTTATATCTATGCGATGAAGTAATTTTTCAGTTTTTTCCCCCTTACATATACAAGTATTTGCCAGATTCTCTGATTTGATCATGTGCTCAGAAAATATCTTATTTGGAAATACAGATTATATAATTTTCAGACACTATTAAATTTTTGTATCCTTTTCTGTACAGAATTTGACATTCAGACATATATATGTATGTATATGTGTGTGTACTCGTACATTTTATTGTACTGTATGTCATTCTGCTTTACAGTTGTTTCACAGAATTGGGGCGAAATTATGCTGTGTAAGTGAATGTTGCAAATGAAAAGCTTTCATTTGAAACTTAACAGTTAAAGTGGCCAAAAGCATTGAATGCAATTCTTTCTAAAACTGAGTACTGTATTGTTTTATTAGTTTCTTAATTATATTACATTGGATATACTATTGTTAATAAGTTTCCTCTCCTTGCCCAATTGATTGTAAAATCACTCCTAAAAGAAGGATTTCTTTTGCCTGGATTCTCTCGCCTCATGAGGTTTTTCCTCAGATAAAAGGAAAAAGGGAGAATAAAAGTGTGAACAGAAGGAGAAAAGATGAAAATATTTTATATTTCCCACTCTTGTTTCTCCAATTTAATAAACCCTAACACCTGTTTTGATTTGCACAACATTATGTAGTCTCTTTGTCCTGTTGCTTCTCAGCCTTAGCATTTGCCTTTTGGAAACCTGGTCCCTACTAGACTTTTAGTTTGGGTGAAAGGGAGCAAAGGAAGCTTACTCTCTCATTAGCTAGGCTGTGACAGTAGAGAAACAGTCATTTCTCTCCACGTTGGAATTTTCTGAATGCATTTTCCTAGAACAGCAATCTTGTAAGTGGTGTTTAGATACTGACCACACGCCCAGAAGTATTTCTAAATTCAGCCAATAGCCAACTTTGAATAAGATTTCAAAGATGTTTTCTGGTGAATGAAAGAGGCATATCTTAGTACGAAGATTATGCCTTTAATTTTGTTTCCTCAGAGTCTTTTGGAACAATCATTGTTTCTAGACCTCGTTTTGGCTATTTTGGGCTATTAAATAAATGATTTTAGGTAAATAAGCATTAGTATATTATGAAATATTAGCCACTTCTGTTGTTAAAATTGTGTTCATTTTGTAAGATTGGTGCTCATCTAATACATATATAAATATATCTTTAGCTGCAAGATATATTTACCTTAGTGCTTTTGTCTATCGAGACTATTTATGAAGCAATGCCACCAATTAAATTTGAAATTCTTTCTAACCTTTTCTCTTTTTTAATCCTGCGAATTCATTATGCTGAGTCAAGCCATTATTAAATTGTCACTTGGTTTTGATTTTTCAGTGTTATATTAGGAACTATGTATTTTTATTAATAAAATGTTTAACATCAAATTTAATTTTATTTCTCTCTTCTAGGTAAAGAGTAGAGTTTATCAAGGTAAAATCTTAGACTTATTTTGTCTTTTGTACTGTTTCCTTTGTACTGGTGGTGGTTATGAGTTTTATATAAGCTAGAAGTAGATATAATGACTTCTTATGTCTGATGGACTTATTAGCTCCTGAAAGTTTTAGTTTTCCTGGGTTCCTAGGTCGGATGATGGAGTAGATGGTCGTGATACCAACAGATAGGAGATGAGGAAGAATAAATTGTGGGAGTAGAGAGAAGATGATTAGTTTAATTTGGGGGAGCGTGACTTCAAATGTTGATGCAATGCAGATTTATTACAGGTGAACAACGTTCCTGTGCTAATGATTTAATCAATACATGAACTATTTATTAAACTAGATAATTTAAGGAATAGGAATATCAATATATTTGCATTTTCTTTCTGTTTCTCTTTGTAATTGACATGTATTTGAAGGGATCCCATTTTCTGAGAAGAAATGTGCTTTATGCAGAAAGGAAATATCAAGCTATAACATTTTACTATATTTCCCGTTTTTGAAATAAATTTAAACTAGAATCTCATTTAAGTAAGGATTCTATTATAAGAATGTATTTCTTAAATTTTAATATTTTTATATCCTTATTGCTGTTAACTAAAGATTGCTTTTTTAAAAGTCATAAAAGTTTTGAAAAGAAATTATTTTTCCTCATAGTGCCAAATAACATCTCTTTGCTGCTAATACTTTGGGTAACAATTTTATTTAGTGACTTATTGATTTTTCCCACCTTTTTAGTCACTGAACAGCAAATATCTGACAAGGTGAAAAACATCACAAGAGAAAATAGAGAACTTGTACAAAAGTTGTCAGATTATGAACAAAAGGTATAATGATTTTTTTAAGTTTTTTTCCCCATTGTTCCCGATTGAATAATTTCTGCCTGTTTTATAGTTACTATAAATTTAGTTATTATAGTATTGTTAAATCATATTTTCTTATTATTTCCTACCAACCATTTAGATCTTAAGCAGTCATCATATGTGTAAAGCACCGCTTCCTTCTGTAAGAGGTCGCTTATTTGGAAATAAGTTTTGGTAGAAGTATAATTTATATTTTTGAGTTCTGAATGCTTTATTTTATATAGATCAAGGAATCAAAGAAATATATTCAAGAAACCAAGAAACAAAATATGATTCTTCGTGATGAAGCAATTAAATATAAGGTAAAATTCCCTTCTTGGGATTACATTCTGAAAATGAAAGTAAAAGTAATGAGTAATTATTACTAATCTTAATATCTTTTTTGTAGGATAAAATCAAGACACTTGAAAAAACTAATGAAATTCTGGATGACAGAGCTAAAAGTCTTCGTATTACATTAGAATCTGAGAGAGAACATACTGTCAGGAATCAGGACTTGGTAAGAGTTTTGCTGCTAAGTGTTACTGTAGTTTGGCTTTTAAAATATTTTGTATACTGCATGAGTTGAACACGATATTTTCCATGCTGTTATCTAAAGTAAGAGTGGGAGTCAGAGAAGTTGGACCTACTTCTGTCCATTTTTGTGGAATTTAAGTACTAATATAACTTAAAGTGGTTTTATGGAAGTATTTTTGTCCTCAGCTCTGGGTAATTTTCCTATTACTTGGTTCTGTCCTCTAAAACATGTAGAGCAACTAAGAAACTGTAACTATGATATCCATAACAGTCCTTATATTTTGTTTTCTAAGTTCTTTTTCAGTAAAATTTTTACTTTTAGAATTACATGAAAGTTGCAAAGACAGTAGAGAGGGTTCCTGTATGTCATAAACCCAGTTGAGCTTGACCACCTAGCAAAGGTAGACTTGCCAGGTTTTTCCACTGTAAAATTACTCTTTTTCCACCTTTTATATACTGGACTCTTTGGAAAGAAGTTACTGTGCATAGCCCACAGTCCAAGAGGAGAGAGTTATGCCCCACCTCCTTGAAGAGCCAGTATCTTCATAAATTTTTTGGAATTTCTTCTGTATGTGAAATTTATCTTTTCTCCCTCAAATCCTGCCACTTTTAATTCAGGCAAGAGAATTTTTAAACTGCCGTTGTGTGTGTGTGTTTGTTTTTTCTCTACCACTAGAAAAAAATTACTGATTTTATTGGTTAACTTGAAAGTTTTTTCATTTTCTTTGCTTTCACCTTTCTGTCTGGTCATCTACTACATTACCTCATAACCAGGAAGGTTGTGGATGTCATGAAATGTTTGTGCCCTCAATTATGATTCCTCTTTAAGTTCTTGATTTTTCCCCTATGCCAAAACTGGTTCACATGCTTTTACCTGAAACATACAGGATGGCAGTGGGATATTTTTTTTTATTGTTCCTTCTTTTTGGCATATATCTTGATGTTTCTACTAAAATCCTAATACATGTTTTGTGTTCTGTTTCCACATGGCAGATATTAGAAAACAGGAAATCTATAGAGAAGTTAAACAATGTTATCTCCATGAATGCTTCAGAATTTTCAGAGGTAAAGCTGACTACAATTCCTACGGAATAGTTATACTATGTTTTAGTTTTGTTGAGGAGCAAAAATTTGATGTGTGCTTAAAATATGCAGAAAATGAAAACTACGTTATTTCTGGTTGGGAAAGTGTAACGTGTTTGTCCTTTGGAATTCATTCACTAATAGGAATGTTTTAACATTAGGTTCAAATTGCTCTTAATGAAGCTAAGCTTAGTGAAGAGAAGGTGAAGTCTGAATGCCACCGGGTTCAAGAAGAAAATGCTAGGCTTAAGAAGGAGAAAGAGCAGGTAAAAAAAAAAAAACGGATGTCCTAGGTCATGTAAACTAGACAACCGAATATCATTACCTCATGAATATTTTTTCTCAGATTGGCTTTTAAGGTAATGAAATGAGCATGCAGAATTCTGTTCTTAGATGTGCAAAGTTAAAACTATGCTTCCAGAACTGAGTGCATGTCTACTTTCTTATCTGTTCTGGAGTTCCTGTTCTTCAGTACAATTTGTTGTAGCTATCAGAGTGTTTAGTCTTTGTCTTATCAAACATTAACCAACTACTAACTTGAGTAGCTTCAAAGGTGTAATAAGGGCCGGCCCTGTGGCGCACTGGGGAGTGCGCTGCTTGGGAGTGCGGCGGCGCTCCCGCCGAGGGTTCGGATCCCATGTGGAGACTGGTTCCCGCTCACTGGCTGAGCTCGGTGCGGGCGCAACACCAAGGGTTGCAATCCCATTGCTGGTCCCCGGTACGGGCGCAACACCAAGGGTTGCGATCCTGTTACCAGTCAGAAAAAAAGACAAAAAGGAAAAAAAAAATGGTGTAATAGATTGGCTTTTTAGACCAAAGAAGTAGGTATGTTTTAATCCTTTTTCAAGTAGTTAACTGCTTCATTGGCCAAGGGATAGTTACATGATCAGGAGTCTGGACTTGGTAGACGATAGGACATACTCTTCCAGTCCTACTGGAAGTGAGTTATTTGAATCGGCTGCAATTTTAGGAGGATGCAGTGAACTGGATCAACTTCCTTGACAGATCTGGTGTTCACACTATAGCGCTGAGCATTAAGACCACTCTCCCCTCTCCCTCAGCAAGGGTCTTAACCCATAGTGACAGGTCAGGGAGGGGCTTAGTTTCTTACTTCCCAGTCTCATTCACATTGTTCTCATGTCTTCAGTGCAAAAGCCCTAACCTGTGGGAATTCACATGTTTTGACTTTTCAGTTGCAGCAGGAAATCAGAGATTGGAGTAAATCACATGCTGAACTGAGTGAGCAAATCAAATCATTTAAGAAGTCTCAGAAAGATTTAGAAGTAGCTCTTACTCACAAAGATGATAATATTAATGTAAGTTCGTTCTCATGAATACATGCTTAATTCTCATGAATTCTCACGAAACATGCTGAATTAAAATTGAGAGGCTCTTACAGATCCCCTTTTGCTTCTTTTCTAGGCTTTGACTAATTGCATTACACAGCTGAATCGGTTAGAGTATGAGTCTGAATCTGAGATTCAAAATAAAGGAGGAAATGAGTCAGATGAATTAGCAAATGGAGAGGTGGGAGGTAAGATCAGTCTCAGGAAGTTGGACCCCTTGTTGCCTTTCTGTCTTTAATTTAGTACACTGATGCTGCTTTTCAGGTGGCTGAATTTCCTCTTAACCTTTAGAGTCGGAGACACATATCATTAGATTTCTATTGTTTGCATTGGGCAGAGGTGGTTTGCTGGGGTGTGATATAGCAATTGGCATGCAAAGAACACTGAAGTTTTGTGGTTTTTTTTTTTTCCCCCATCCCATTGAGAACTAGTTAACATGCACTGGAACTGTACTGGTCATGTTTTATACCTTTAAGTATTGAACACACACAATAGGAGAAACTTGTTTCTCAGCTTCATAGAGATGGGATGTGATTTTAATACTTGTCTCTGTTGCTGTGTGGTTTTAAGGCTTACAACCAGTTTTAAGAGTACTGAGGTGGTTGGAGCTATAAACTAACTTAGGCTGTGAGAGTGGAGGCTACAGGGTAGCAGTGTTTACTGATGAGGAAAATGTTTCTAAACTCAGTCTCCCAAGTTGGCTATTGCTTGCATTAGTGGTTGTTTTAAACCACACCTGGTAACAGATTCTGTGGGAGAACAGAGGAGTGACTCTTTCTAAAATAAGACACTTACCCAGGCACAGATCTGAGAGAGAAGACAGAGCTTCATCTCAGAAATTTCTTCTTGCTCAAAAACAGCACAGATAACATTTCTATTGTACATACTGAGAATTTACTTTTTAAATTATATTTGTGATTGTCTTAAAAGTCAATTAGTCTCGTTAGTTCTGTTGGTTAATTTGTTTTTTCTTTTAGTATTTGATCATGATAATTGTTTAGTTTTGGGGAAGTCAAGAAAATATAGACTTAGAAAAACAAGGGAAGAAAAAGCAATTAAAGCCTTCTGTTTTTTAGGTAACCGGAATGAGAAAATGAAAACTCGAATTAAGCAGATGATGGATGTCTCTCAGGTATAATCCTTTTTATAGAGTCAAATAAGTGCCTGTGAATTCTTACGATGCCTCACTGTTAAGAATACTTCTCTCTTCTGCACTTTTTAGACACAAACTACAATATCAGTAGTTGAAGAGGATCTAAAACTCTTACAATCTAAGCTAAGAGCCTCCATGTCCACAAAATGTAACCTGGAAGGTAGGTTGCTTCTTGAAAAGAAACCACCCCATATTGGAAAGATACAAAATATCATTGGGAAGACGAGGAATGGCTTTCTGCTTTGTTCTTCTCACCGCTGTTGGCACCGCCTTCTCAACCACGTTCTGAAGTCCTTGTGCGCACACATAGAGCTCAACTGTTTTGTCCTTTACAGATGAAATAAAGCAATTAGAAAAGGACCGCAGTTCACTGCAGTCTGCCAAAGCTGGACTGGAAGATGAATGTAAAACCCTGAGGCAGAAAGTGGAGATTTTGAGTGAACTATACCAGCAGAAGGAGATGGCTCTGCAAAAGTAAGAGTTTCACTGTTAGTTGTTAACACAGTTGTCATGACTAAATATGTATACTAATATAGATAATTTTATCTTAAAGATTATTTACAGTTTTTTCCATCTGTGATTGGTATGTGTTGTCTTTCCTTCTTTCCATTTTCTTTCCCATAACTTGCATTTTTCTTTCTGTTCTGACCAGTTGTCAGCAATTGTTGCCTGTAATTCGTGTGAGGGGCGCGGTTTACTGGTAGCAGCGGTCGCTGCTACTCACGTGCTTCTTTTCTGAAGATGAACACCCTATCTGTAGTCCAACACTTACTCCATTTGCCTTTCTTTGTGGTCAGTTATGTAATTCTGATTAGTCTTACATTTGTCTTACTAGCTCTTCATATAGTCCCTTCAAATTCCAGGTGATTTGTATGACATGTTTTTTAGTAGAATATGAACTTCAAAAGGAATATTTAGTTATTGAAAGTATAGGACTTAATATAATCAAATTTTCAGACTAATCATGATGTAATTATGGTAAGGATGTTAGGAGTTTTGAATACAGAAATATCTGTTTGGTGTGTATATTTAGGTATTAATCTTTTGAAATATACATCTCAAATTTGGAGCTAAGTATCTCTCAAAAGATGTGTTTTTGTAGTCTATTTTGAGGTTTTTCTCCACAAAACTATTTGAATTCCTAAAAATAGCTTGTCTGTGGCATTGCTAGTTGTGTTTACTCTTATACTTTACTCAGTCTGGGAAAAGGCCTGTATTGCTGAATAAAGCTAACTTCTCAAAAAATGCTTATACTCTCTGATGCCATTAAACACTGAAACCACACCATTAACTTTTCTCTAATTCTGCACTCATCAAGCAGCCAGTTTAGATTTCCAAATTTTGTTCAGGCCAGCTCTAACAACCTGGCCCACTTGAGAGAAACATTCCTCTTTTTATTACCTTTTCTAAGAATAA